GCTTAGCCCTCTAATCAGTTTGTTCTTCATAAGACCATATAGGCAACACATATCGCGTCACATATTCCATCCTTTCAAGAGAAGATCCCTTGCTATCACGGAGCCAAATTCGAGACATACTCAGCCAGTGTTTTAGCCCTATGGAAAAGAAATGTATGGACTTTTATGGAATTTGATTAGTTAAGTTACTTCGTTTCCCTTTGCTTTCATGCGTTCTGAATTTGCGTTTCGTTTGTTCGCCTACTACACGCCATTGCTTTCAACGTACATGTGTCGTGCATGTAATGAATTTCGAAATTTTCATTCTTTTTACAAAGTTATTACCTATCTATCTGCAACACTTATGTGGGACTAACAATATACAGGGGTGGTCCAAAAAAGACACTTCTCTCCCACATTCGACAGCACTGATACAAGTCACTAACTCATCCGACTGCCTCGCTCAGTTATGAAGAGGGCACGTCCCATCTTCAACAACGTTATAAGTTAGACTTTAGCTATCGAGCACCAGGGATATCACAAGAATTTGCCATGCGACAGTCATAATGGGCGACCGCGTTCATCGAACGTGAAGCAAGCGAAGTCCTGTTTTTTTTCTGAAAGTCGTTACCCCACCATGCGGAGAATACTCATAAAAAATTGGAGACGTTCAGGATGCAGGTATTCCAGCTCCTCTGTGTAGCCCTATCCTCGTACCAGCGAAAGACCACCTAGTCTGAGTTATAGCACTCTCCTTCAGAAAGAAACTTTACGCTGAGCGCCATGACCTCAGACCCAAACGGTCTTTCTTCGATCAAAAGCTCATGAAATTTTCAAGAGGAAATAGGCAGTGACTAGGTCCCCATGGACGCAATGGCTTCTCTATATGCGACAGAGTTCTTTCAGTTGCTTAGTCAGCTACGCAAGATTCATATGAAAAAAAAACAGAACTAAAATTGAAAAATGCCTCAAAGTGATTCACTAATTGTAGGACAACCTAACGATGTCGGCGAACCTTATAGAAAGCAGCGACCAACTTCATTTTCGATTATCGAATTTTTTTCGCTTCGATTACGCTTCGATGTAATTAACGTGTTATGTGAGAACTAAACAGTCCGTGGAGTAAGCTGGAGCGCAGCATTTTCGTATTCATGGTCTTTTGATATGTAGCTTCGTCGCATGAAGGCACTCATGGTCTTACCATTAGAGTAAGAGAGTGATCATATCTAATAAAGCCTGCATAGCGTCGAGCATTTTTTGGAGACGGTTAAAGTCGAAAATGGCTACCCCTAGAATTGTAGGTATTCAGCAGCTTTCTATGGAGCACTATCGTGCAAGCCCATAAACGGCATTAACAAGAAGGTCGCTCGGAACGTGAAGCGCTTTTTTGAGTTGCTGCATGTAATAAGCGCACATGTATGAAGCATAAAAAAGATGAATTTTTTTTTCTGAACGGCTCTGGGAGAGGGAAAAATACTCCTAAGAATTAGAACGTTACAATATCATCTATAAAATTTGCAGTGATGAATAGATGCATGTTCGAAGGTTTTTGTTCACTGAATATGTAGGTTCAGGTGTTTATGAGCACAGCGAAGTGGAAATCAGGGAATTTCGAATGCCTTCGTGGGGGCCGAGCCAAAAGCTTGTTACTTTGGCATTGACAGAATGAGAAAGCCGCTCCAAAGAAGATTCTCGTTTTATGCTCCCAACCCGGGGAAAGAGCTGCTAAGGCTACCCCCATTTGGACGTTATCGAAGATCTGCCACCGTCTGGCATAGGGCGGAATATTGGTCCATAGTGCCTGCAGTACCATGTAGTACCATCGGTAACGATCCACCAATGACCAGAACGCGTGGAGGTCCTTCCATAACTATCAAGAGCGTAGTCCGCAGCGTTCTTACTAATCACAACCGCTAGCATTCTGCTACACCTCCAGAAAACGCCGCAAATTCACTTCATTCCTCTCCCATTGTCAACCACAACATTGCCTGCCTTCATTTAGAACATCTCCAATTGCGATTTCAGGGGCAACGGGACACTATGACTGACGAATGATGTCGGTTCAGATACAGTGAATATAGCGTCGATTCTGTTGCAACATGACTCAGAAGAAGGGACGTTGTAGTGATTACAGCATCATATTGTCGGGCAGAATAGTGCTCGTATATGGAAGCTCAGGAATCGATTGCATGAAACACGCATACCCTTCTATTAAGTGCGTGTCACATAATAGTACGACGCCACCTGCCTGAAAGTACCACAGTTTAAATTCATATGTTTCAAGAGCCAGTCTATCACTATCTGAGTGACGTGCGCGCAAAAACCAAATGTTACCAACCTATGGTTATACGAGAACTTGCATAAGACTCTCGGCCTCTTTTCGAAGACTTTGCAACATTAATTCGCCTTTATCAAAATATAAGACGCACCTCGAAAATCTTAATACAATTCATGTATGAAAACAAGTGCATGAAAATTTCCCAATGATTGATTGTTCCATGTTCAGAAACGATTTCAAAAACTCGATTTGGCATTAATTCGACTACTCTATACAGCAACTGCACATACTAACAATCCCACGCCTGACTAATTGTTATATTGAGGTCTCTCACTCTGGCAGAAGTTTTTCCCTGGACGTAAATATCCCCGATTAGAATGCTCCAGATGCACTGTATGAATAGGATCAGGACAGTCCATGGTGACTATACTTCGCTCCTCTAACCATAATTTTGTGAAAGTTTCACATGGATTGCCGCGTTGTTTCAGTGCAAAACGAGTTCTTCTTCACCTGGACATGCCAGAAAAGATTGTATATGGCGAGTTAGCACGTCCTGGTAGTCTATCGCGTCTACATGAGTGGAGGTGGAGCTCAGGCTTCCCGTATGGATTCCTCCCAAACCGACACGCTACCTCCACCAAAACTGCTGAAGTACTTCAGTTCCTTGCGGAGATCTCTCCACAAAGGCGCATTTCCATTCGAACCGTCTTAAATGAACTATTTCTCGTTGGAAAATATCACCTAAACACCATATTTAAACTTAGAAAGCCTTATGAGGAAGGACGTGTACCTTCAACCCATTTGTTGCCATGTTCTTAGTGTCAGCCGAGCCTCTCGTGGTCATTGGTAAGGCGAGGAGCAGGGCGGAGACGACATCTGTCTATGTCGTCGTTGCTCTGATGCCCTCTCTATACCTCGTCGTCTGGAAAAGGGACCCGGTAGGGTGGCTCGAACTCCATACCGATAGTGCAATTGGAAACGGGGCGTCTAATCGCACGTTACTGCGGTAGAGCTGGGTTCTTCGTCCTCCCAGAACTCTTTTTCTTCCGTAGGATCCTGGGTAATGTAGAAATTGGTCGATAGACTTGATGAACGCCGCAGTTGATCAGCATTGTGACGATTGCAAAGGCCTAACCATGTGTAGGGAAGGCCTACCAAGTGTAGGGTGCGAACCTGGGCCTACTCAACCTCTGATGCGGATGCGAACCTCCTGGCATTTGCGATATTGTGCAGAGTACTCAACCCTAGTTATTTGTTTCCTGGAATGGCAAGTTGTTCATGTGTAGCCTATTATTTTAACCAAGTTAATGGAGTGCGTCTATACTTTTGATACAGGCAAAATAATGTTCACCTGTTAGAAAAAGGCCGAATTCCTTTCCAATTCACGTGGAAGCTGGTAAACATAGGTTTTCGCGCATGCTGATTTGAATGGCGGTAAGCCTTTGTCGAGAACTACGAAAGTCAGCTGTGGTACTTTCAGGGATGTGTCTATACTTATGATGCGCACTGACAACGAGATCACTTGCAAACGGATTCGGTTCTTTGTAGCCAGGTTTGTTCAAAGTGTCTCAGGCTTTCTGGGCAACCCCATGTTGTTATTTCATTTGGAAAAAGTTTTTACTGTTGGTCGCAGATTGCCGTCGACAATAATCATGATCACAGTTGTTAAGTTACTTGTTGCCGTGGTAATACAAATTACGGGATGGTGAAAACTGGCAGTGACATCAACACAAAACAGTAATGATAATAATCATCTTCGGGTATGCAGTGACTGTGGGTTTGCCTTACGAGAGCACCAGGAGGACCATTCACATTGCGCTCACTGGGGAGGGGGAGGGGTATACAAATAAAATTAGCCTGTGCCATATTCAGTGAATCACTCTGCCTATTTTTCTGCTCAAGCTCTCTTTTATTCCTTGCTCATTCAAACATACGCTTCCATTATGCTCAAAATATGTTCTATGCATAGAGAGCATTTCGCTGCCTTTCTTGTTGAATGCCGTAAGGTTGTTCTCTAAGGAAGATCGAATTTCAGCATTTATATCATATAACGGTTCGGCGG